TTCCGCTGCGCTAGTATTTGGTTCTTGTAATGAACAAAAGGTCGGTGACCTAAAGACGCTTCCTCAAGCGCAAAGCTACGGCAGCTCCGCTGCAGGGAGGGTACGTGGAGAACGTCTACATTACGCTGCTATCCCGTACGACGAAGCTCAGAAGAACGAAGGTGAAGGTCAAAGTGAAGTACAAAAATCCCTTGGTACGGATGATTGCGTAAAGGATAGGTTCTTGGTCACGTTCACTGCTTATCCTTAAGCCATGCAATATAAATATTTATAATTAGTACCATCTCTTTGTTTTTCTTATCACTTAGTCAATGCTTCATCTGCGCAAGGAGCCGGCGACCCGGGCAAATACTGCCTCGGTAAAAATTGGTATTTATTATTGTAATATCGTTCTTGCATGATGTATGCATCACTTTATATCGCATGGTCAAACTGTATTTCAGCGATAAGCTTGGGAACCTTCTGTTACTCATTGTCTATACAGCCGGATTGATAGGAGCTGCAGCCTTGATGGCTCAGCCCATTCTACAAAATAAAGGATCACCTGAGCTGTAGTTGCCATTAGAAGCGGTAATTTACTTTGCTTTTTAAAAGCTGTAGCCAAAAGCTATAGCCTGCAACTTTGGCGTACTGATTCCAAGAGATTATTTTTCTTATCAAGAAAGTCTAAAGTAAACTTGCGAGTCTCTAATCGGCACAGAAATAAGAAAATAAATAGCAGTGAAAAGGATTTTTTGACTGATGGGCAAATGTTTTCACATTACCGTTGACTCCGTGACTGTTTACCCCCGACACGCTGAAGCTGAAGACGTGATCATCACTGTTGTCGATAATGGCTTGTGGCTTATCAAACTATAATGCACCACAAGTAAAACACAACAATTAAAACATTCTTTAAAAGCACCAGCTTAAAGCACAATTGCACAAACAAAGAGTTGTAGATGCGGGTGAGAGCCCTCTTCAGCATCATCCTCGGCTTTCCACAGCATAAATCGATACGGACGATACACTAGAAAGTAATTCTGTTAATATACATAGCAAACGACAAGTCAGAAGAATTTCAAGTGAGCCAAATTAAACCAAGGGAAACCTTAGTGTAGCGATCTCCCTCGATTTTTGAAGAAACATTGCCGATCCACAATGCGTGATAACGAAGACGGGCTGCAGCTTCCTCGTCTTCCTCTAGCTGCAATTTGCGCTTTGTCATATACACGCTCCGCTCGGGCTCGTACAAGTCGATTAAATCCTGATCGGTAGGAAGCGAGGATAAATAGTTCCACAAAACCTTTCTCACGCGTTTACTGGTAGGAGCGTCATCCACATATACCGCACCAAATTCCGTAAGTCCAAAGAGAAGAATTGCCCAGCGACCACGGACAACCGAAAACACGAGTGCCAACACCGCCACTATAACAAAAGCTGTGGCAGTCTTCCATGGATGTGTCCAATTAAATAGATTTTCAGCACAAGCTATAGCTCCACAAGCACGCCCTATTTCGTTTTGTAACTGTGCGAAAGTATCTTTCACTTTCCAAAAAGCGTCAAATAGGTTTGCGCCTAAGATTTTGGACTTTTCTTTTTCTACCATATTATCATACACAAAGTCAGAGAAACTGCGCATGACATGGCTAGTTGGGCGTTTAATTTGCGCCGACATTGGTCGAACAGGTGACATTTCGTGTGCCTCGGGGGTTTCATTCTTCAGAAGCGTACCATTCGACGACATTTCACTTCCTTCTGGAACTTGGAATTTTATTCGTACAAGCAAATAATTGTTCTCTAAACAATCCGGCCCTTGCGTGTTGCAAATTTTGAAATCTTTCGTGCTACTTACCGCTGAAAGCGTAGAGAGTGGAAGAAACAATTCACTTGAATCTTCACCTTGCTTTACATAATGTCGAAGTGGAATTGTTGCGGTTGCAGCAATCAAGTCTGGCGTCTCTTTAGCTTCGCCGTTCAGTGAAATGCACAAATCAAACTGTACAAGACCAGGAAACGACGACCATGGTACCAGATCGTCACGACCGGAGAAGTTTTTTCGAGATGCTTGTGGAATTGGAAAGTAGAAAGCATGGTGATCGACACCACAGCCAGAACTTGTCGTTAACACAGGTGATTCTTCAGCCAAGCTTTGCTGATATGACTTACATTGATCACAAATGCACAAGTTGGGATCATGGCGCCAAGACACATTGAAATTTCGGAACGGAAGTGTTTTTCGGAGCGTAACAAGTGGCAAGACGCCCACAGAGGACAGAGAGCGTTTGCGCCAGCTCAGCTTCCGACTTCTACCCACCACATCTGTGCAAGCGATCGTCGTTTCATCGTAGTTGGAAGGGATGAGTACCATGTCGCCAGTCTCAGAGACTTTATCGTTAGGACGATACTTGATACGAACATAAAAACCAAGCTTTGAGGATGATGTATCTTTTGAACGAGACTGCGATTGCATAAGTAAAGTGTCCATCTCTTCAGAAAGATGTGCTTCGTGCACAGCAACGTACAAATCTGCTAGTGGTCTGTACAGCTTTTGTGCTTCCTCGAGCTCACGTTCGTATTCTTTGTATGCAACCCAACGTACCATGAAAGCGCCTTCTAAGCGCAAATGTAGTCGATACAGCATGTACACTAAAATACCTCCAAAGATGTACGATAAAGCGTACTCCAAATCGGCAAATAAGCAAAGATATACAAACGAAACGAAAACCACTGCTGATTTCTTCCTATTCTTCCATGAAATGACACTGGCATACTCAGCATCAATTCCTTGGAAAAATTTCACTGCCCGGCCGAATCGTTCTATAGTAATACGCAGCGAATCCACCGAAAATTCTTTGTCTTCGCGCTCTAGTAGATTAGAGTCGTTATTGACCCCAACATGCAGTAGATCTTTCTTGTACTCTACATAATTCAAATCAATAAGTGCGAACCCAAGACAGACACCAGGTCGACCCTTTGATCCGATGGGCGGCAAAAGTTTGTAGTAATCTTTTTCATCCAGAAATGGCAAAATTGCCCACGAATTGTTTATTGCACCTTGATTTGCCTCATTATTTAGGCTGAAGCAGCGAAGTGGATCGCGTAATTTCTTTAGCAATTGATTTGTACGAATGAATTCATCCGCTTCACGTTGGAGAAGCTGAAAAAGCGTAACGTCCAGCTGTGCAATGCACTGGTCCGAATTGAAATCGATGACATCAATGCGGAAAGTTGAATTGGGATGACGAACCTTAAAGCACAACTTTTCCATATACATCGGGTCAGCACTTTTCAAGACGGGACTGGTCTCATGCACGATGCCGTCGAAGTGAAGTCGGCAGTAAGTATCTCCCTCAAAGACGTTTTTCGCATGAAAATCGTCTCGGCAATGTTTTGTGCACAAGTGTAAACCACAAAATTTCACGTACAGTTCCCCTAATGGACGCAATACGCCATTATTTAAAACAAGGTAATTAATACCTTTGCGCTCTTTCTCCTCTTGTCCAGCACCTAATAATTCTTGTGCAATACAGTCACACTTAAGTGTAGCCTTCATCATGCAGCTTTTGTGCACGTCAATCTCACAAAGTTCGCATCTGTAACCCCAGACGCTTTTCAGTGCATTCATGATAGAGCGATCACCTAATAACGCGCAGAAAAAATTTAGTCCATCCAGCAAGAGCTCCGCAAGAAATCGAACGTACACACTGCGCAAGTCGGCATTGCGAGACCGATCGATTTGAGCTGATGAACGCGGAACTTGTGCGAATTAATCGTGCTTATCTCTCCTTTTGTCGGTACAAACTCGATCGCCAGCATAATTTTGGGCTGCCCTGTGCTTTGAGTAAGCAATGCTCGAGACGACAAAGTAAACCACCGCTTTACTACGACATTGGGATACCGAAGTAACGGGCTCATATCCACCAGTGTACAAGCAACTTGATCGTCAGCGAGGTAGTTGTAATTGTAGACCTCGACTTCAAGCAACGGAATAGGCGTGATCGTACTGTTGTACATGTGTGAAAATTGCATCACATTTTCATGCGCAATGGTCCACATCGGATTGCGTCCACCATTTTCAACGGGCTTGGTTTGCATGGGTTCCTTCCATGGAAGCAACGATAGCTTTGCATACGGCGCTTGCTTGCCAATAAGCTGAGTTCCAGGTAATTCCATTGCGCGAAGGACAGTCACGTGGAAAGTACCCGGTCGATTCAAGCCCGACGCTGGAGTCTTTGACATGTTTAAAAATTCCTCGCGCGTTGTAATTTCCGGATGCTGCGCTAATACCTGGGCAGTGAACTGTGCACACCCTTGGTGTGTGACAATGCCCAGCTTTGGCCACCGGTACATATTACTTGAGGCATCGTCAGGCCACGAAACATCGCACGTGTCGCACGTATTCGGCTGTTTGTTAGTGTCTCCAATAATCTCTTCGATCGCGCCGCTTTCAAAGATCGGATCCATTTCCAGATACTGGTCCGGAGGCTCGGGTTTGCTATGCGCTGTCGAAGAATGAGGGCTCGTGTGCTCGTCCAATGTTTTCTGTAACTTTTTTAATGTCGGGTTTGTGACGTTCATCTTTTTGAATCGGGACCTAAGACGTATGCCATTCAAACAACATAGAAAGGTCATCGATAGAACCACTTCCGCATATACGAACAGACTCTTACAGAGCCGCGCTAATTGGTGTTGTAGCCTTTGAATTCATCATTTCCGCTGCGACCTCTTGATCACGGGTTGCAAACTTTTCCAGCAGCGCGTCCATCTCTTTCGTCGAACAGAGTCGCACGACATCGCGCTCTGATATCAACTTACCCAATTCTTCGTCGTTAGGTAGAACCTGCCCCGTTGACTCATTTAAAAAGTGTAAATTCTTATCTTCAAGCACATATGACAGTTTCCAATCAAACGCTGTTGACCTCAGCGACTGCGACTTATCGGCCACAACGCGTCGCTTTTTAGGGCCCTCACAGAGCCTGATTCAAAAAAGTAGTCGGAAGTGTGATAATTAGAAGTGATATAGAAACACTTACCAGAAGCTTATCAATGTAGAGCCCTCGGCGCTCTTCTTGCCTCGGAATCGAAGCTCCATCGCCGTTGATTGAAAGTTAGCAGCTGTGCTAAGTACGCCCGTACTTAACGGCACTTCAACTTAATAGATGATGACAAACAGCAGTGATGCCGAGACAGTGCTAGGCGAGGACTCGCCGTTGTCTCCTTGTATGTGGGAATACTCGTCGCACTCCGAAGATGGTCAGCAATTGGTGGGGCGGACAAAGATGGCACCGTGCTCCTCGCAAATTCCAGCTTCTCGAAATGGAGGTAAGGACCATGACCGGACTTTTTCGAACATTTTATCATAAAGGAATAGACTCTCCAATACAGGGGAATACGCGGCGAGAGCTGCAGCTTTCACCCGCATCACAACTTGATGTTCTTTCGCATATTAGTGAGCTGGCGGATGCTCACTCACGGCAAACATCTTTGGATCCAATTCGACATGCACAATGTACACATGTGTGGGCACCAGCCATTAACACGACAAAAAGAAAGATGTCTGCTACTAATATTACAGGGGTTTCTGCAAAAAAAGTGAAAAGGCAAAATATAGGAACCGTGAGGCCTTTGCACTCGCAAGCTGAGCGTCTAAGAAACGACATGATGGACTGGGAAACTTGCAGCGGTGCGTAAAAAATATAGTGCTTTATGCAAAACAGTGGTGACTAACTTTCTGTGCATAGAAGGAGACCTGCTCATGGTCGACTCTGAAGATGAGGAAAAGCATTGGGTATATTTTGACATCTCCGATAGCGATTATGATGCCTGAGCAAGAAGTTATTGGATTATGAATGCTCACCAATAAATTACAAAAACAAATATCCATGTCTACCTTGTATGCTACCCTGACTGCCACACAAATTTTCACAGTGGAATGTAGATATAAGACGACGTGACGTTGGCTATAAAGCTCGTGAACTCCACTGGGCGGCTGTCCAAGCTTTAATGCGGGCAGAGTTTCAAAATGTGAGCAAATCCTTGTTCTTGCAGATGGTATAGACCTCAACGCGTGAACAAACGTCGCAAAAGAGGTAGTGCACATCTTTACTAATCAAGAAAACGGTAGTTTCAAGCCTATTGGTTTTGGAACCACAAAAGACTGGATATGACATCTTAACCTCAACAGTATCTGTGCCTGGGTTTATTCTCAATCGTGTTTTTGGACAGCGCGAAGCTGCGAGCAAGTCCCGTTCAAAACTACAAAACAATCCTACACGTAAGCCCAGGCAAATGCAAGAGATTCAAGGCGTGAACATGGAGTGACGTGCTCTAACATGGTATGCTACTTTTCGGTTATTTCAAATATTTGACAATGTTCAGGTCCACATGCGTATGACGCCAGGCGAATTAATCAAGTCGTACTTTTGATGCTTCATCACGAGCAAGAATTGCATTGTCTTTCCTCCGTCCTGTAGTTGTGCTGGATGAAACTCCTACAAATCTGTTTATAATTATATTCTACTTTGTGCAACTGTTTTTGAGCCGTTGGAAAGATGTGTTTGAGTTAGTTGATGCCAAAAATATCGACAACTTGGATTCTTTTACGATTAATTAATTGACGCGTATCTCTCAGAAGGATGTATTCTTATTTACGTAACCTCACACTTCATATACAACTGTGAACAATTCTATGAATTTCAAATTGTGGTTGTCAATATTAAGAGCTACTAAAAGCATTGATACTAGTGAAGATGATAAGACTCCGTAAGATAAATCCGTGGTATTAGCCTCACGTGGAATTGGTAGATCATATAGATTCAGTATCAGATTAGATAGGATTCATTCTAGAATTGGAGAGCGTAACACATCTTGCTTACTCGTTACCTGATAGGATCTGTCCCTTGCTTGGATGGATCATACAGACCCACTCTCTGTGCGTTTGTTATCACAGGCTCCTTGAGCCCAAGCTTACTATGCGCAAGGTGCCCATCAACCACCTGTTTCCATTGATAGATTCATCTCTCAGTCCGTCGACTGAGAGATGAAATACTGTATCATATGTAAGGATAGATCGTAAGTTGTTCGATTGCCCGTCTTGGAAAATTAGACGCAGTTATTGAACTTGTGCTTACAAATGGTCTCAAAATTATAAGACTCAAGGCCCAGCAGCGGTAAGCGCTCGGCCGGAGTCATACACCAGCAATGAGAAGACACCTCAACGAACGCCCCAACCGGCTGTTGGTGGAAACACAACGGCACTCATGTGTTGCCGCTAATGCGTCATGCCAGTGAGACTTGGAATGAAAAGAATATCTGTTTGGTGGTATAAGGTCAAGAAGCGGTAATTTCTCGCCTGGAGGCGTTCATCATCCATGAAAGCGCATTGGTGAGACACCCCAGATCGGATGGTGAACCGTCACCACCTTTTACCACGACACACCTATGCTGAGCGTCCATTTCTTTAGGTACGGACGATGGAAATATTTTTTGGGGGATGAGGGAACTACACATGATCTATGGTTCATATGTAGCAATAAAGCTTTGCGCTTGCTGTTTCCACTTTTAGAGGCCGCACGCGAAAATGGACTTTTACATGCAGTATTGGTGCTAAAAAAATGCTCCCGATATGGATAGAGTTGATTCGCGAGTGTTCGCACCGCCTAATATGTAAACCATGTGCACTCGAAATTTTTGTCCACACGTCAATGGGGCGAGAAATAGCGGGCTGTGTCCAATGGTTGAGAGCTCTACTTGCTGCAATGGTGGTAGATGGCCACTTAGAGACTCTGGCAGCAATTATAATCTTAGATGGTTTCCAGACAGTAGCGGCTTGCAACGAGACCTTTCCGTCTACTAAATCGCTTACAATGAAGTGATGGGTGTCGGTTTTGTACTCCTACAGATGAAGAGGTTGTGAGTATCACGGCGCTACTCGGCAACCTTGAAAGTCATTTTTTTAGATATATGGGCCCGACACTTCTGTCACGCTTGTATAACTTCCATCTCCTGGACTTCCACCGGCTCTTGCAGCACGTAGGCCGTATTGCGCATGTTATGTTCTGCGTATTGTGAACTTCTTCGCTCTTCGTTGGGAGGCACGAAAAGTTAAACTCACACACAAAGATTATGTACTAGGAAAAAATAAATTCTTTGTAATGTGTGAAGTTCGTAATCAATGGACCCCGATTCTAATAGGACCAAATTGACTTAAAGAGTAGAGCTACAGTCCAGTTTTGTTAAAATCTTTGTTTCAGTTTTGTTTAATAACTCAGAAGCGTAGTACGATTACTCACGGCGGGCGACTGTTGAAGCATTGATGTTGCTTAAACGGAAACAGAATTCTCCTGATCTTAAACATCGTAAAATGCTGGCTAGTCCTGGACCTGCTCTAAGATGTGATCTCATCCGAGGTATAGATCACTTGAACGTCATGAGCCATGGATTGACCGGAAGCAAAAGTGACAAAACAGACATTTTACTCCTAGTGGAGCTTAGTTAGTCATGAACCCACTTCTATCATAAATCAAAAGCACTAGCGGCACAAAACTGTAAAGGCTTAATTCTGGACATTGTATTGTTCAAATTGTCAAACAAAGATATTGCTAAATACTTGGAGCAGAGCTTAGAACGGAGAAGCGGTATTGGGTGAAGGTCTGATGACGAGATGGAGCAAGGCACTTGTATATCGCGGTCTCCAGATGGTATCTCTACAGGGATAGGAATGAACAACGCCCCCCGAGGATATTTCCGGTTGAACGATCAATAACCGCTTTAAGCTGGTGCCTCCTGTACCAGAGCCGCCGGAGCTAAAGATCTACTGAAGACACAAGTCAAAGGCGAAATCTTAAGATCAGTAACGATGTATTATCCTTAGCAAAATGTTACGGCACCTCTCTACTTCTACTACCGTATGATCGCCTACCATGCGGAGCCGTAAAGCGCTACAGGTTTATAGCGAGAAAGATAATTCTCTTGTGAGCGGTGACAGAGGTATCCTAGGGTTTGTAAGTGTCCCTTTACTATCTCCATCTTGAGCTTTCATCGGTATTCTCAGGAGATGTATAGCAAAGTATTACTAGAAGGTGGAGTCATTAAAATTGTAATCTATGACGGAGGAGATGCTGAGCTTAAGGATGAGTCATTATTAAATACACTTGGAGAGCAACGGGTGCGAAGAGAAAGCCAGATATTCCTAAGGCATTGAAATGCTTTCATCCTTTGTTGTAAAAACAGTACGATTTGGTAACAAGAGAGTACGTAAAAAGAAAACAACTTACTTACAGAACCAAATATGTGACACACGTCAATGCATGCGTGACGTCATTAACACCTTCATCCATACAAATCCCGAAGCGTGGCCGGTAAGAAACAGTAAATCGGCTTGTTTGGCGTCGCCTTCTGTGTAAATAAGGCTAATAAAAGGTGATGAATCGTGCACGCCTATATTAAGCTCATACAGGCATTATCTCAGCTCAAGTACCAAGTTTTGGAAAGAATGTGCTGCTAAATAGGATAGTTAGCTGGATTTATTTAATGCCCTTTATCTGATTGGTAAGTAATTGTTCAATGCTCACGCGAGACAGCGACAGCCCTCTTACAACGTTGCGTGCTTAATGTGGGATGCTCTGCACAAACTTGTTTCGTCGATAAAATTGTTGTTCATAGGTGTGCGTTAGCACGAAGAGTTAAATATGGAGAACGACGCTAAGCACCTGCTAGCAATGCTCGAGTGTATGCGCTTAAAAAATTGCTTGCCAATGAAGACTGTGTGGCGCCTTTGGCGCGGGCGGCATTTATTTGATAAGTTGCTTCATGTCATGCCACCAGATCTGATAACGATTCTGATTATCCTAAATTGATCATTCATAATGGATTGATGGTGACTTGGCCTTGTCGCGCACAAGTATGGATCAATCTTTGCCGGTGTAGCATTTTCCCTCACCGATTCCCTAAGGAAGGATATAAATGGTGCTGGGCCACGGCGGAAGTGGTGGCCTTTACGCCTGTGAATAAAGCCCAGACGAGGCCCAGTTCTGCATTTTTCAAATTCGGATACAGATCGACCATTCCATTTCGTCTGTAACAATTAATAAATTGCCTAAAAATGTGCTTTACTTCAAGCAGATGTCGATGGACATGAAAGCGTGATTGTATGTAATCTCGCTAGCTCAAAGCGTTGCAGAGATAATAGTTTTTTCACGAAAATAAACTACTTGCAATGAAGGTTTTCCCAAATTCAGGGTGCAAGGGTTTGGCTGGAAACTCTTTATAATCTGCAGATCATAAGTCATTGCGCACAGTGACGAAGTCACCAATTTTCTTTAAAAAAGGGCAAGATGGTCATCTTTCACCGCCATGCATACCTTGGAGTAAAAGTACAAGCCAAGTCGAAATTTGTTCGTGGTGGATGCATCTGCTCTAGACAACGGATCCCAACGTGTCTGCAAAATTTGGTTGCTCAATTCTAAAGCAGCAGCAACGTCAACTATACTAAAGCGATCGCCACGTTGCTGGTAATCTTGATTACACATCATCTGCATATCTGGTCCGGAAGACGAGCTGCAGTCTGTCTGATTGACCAAGATACCCTGCATTGAAGCTGCAAAAACGTCAACGTTTCCTGAAATATCGCCATATTATTGGCAGCTGCGATAACACAACACCTTCTTATCTGCCCTAGACAACGGGTTTTTAAGTGTCTGAAAAAACTCAATGGCACAGTTCTAAAGCGGCGGCAACGTCAACCGCGCTAGAACTATCGACATGACGGTGACAGCTGCGATAACACGTCACCTGCTTTTCTGGTCCAGAAGGCGAGCTATAGTGTGTCTGATCAATAAGACACACTGCATTAAAGCGTCAAAAACATCAACAGTACTTAAACTATCGCCACATTGTTAAAAGCTGCAATAACACTACATCAGCTTATCTGCTCTAGACAGCGGGTACCAACGTGTCTGACGAATCTGTTTGCACAGTTCAAAAACGACAGCAGAATTGCGCAAAAAGTATCGACACGTTGTTGGTAGCCGCGTTAACACGATACCTGTTATTCTGGTCCAAAAGACGAGCTACAGTGTGTCCGATCGAACAAGATACACCGCATTAAAGGGGCAGAAACGTCAATTGTATAAAAACCTCTACGTTGTTTAAAGCTGCAATTAATAAAAAAGCACTTGAGCGCTAGATGTCAATATACAAAGTCAATATTGTAATGGCCCTTAGTTCGCTATACTACCTCTAAGCCTATCTATAATTGTCTACCAAATATTCTACTGGATTATTAACTGGATTTATTATGCACTTGCGGATATCCTCCTTGTTGGACACTTCACTGGATACTTGGCTTACTCACGTAACAGCAACCTTCGCAATCTAGCCTGTCCGGACCGTTGATATCGATGTCTACCGGTTTGCAGCTGCTCGTCGAAACGCTTCATTGGCCGTACTTGTCTGCACGACGAGGCGCATCTTCAATAATACTCCCACTGGACTCGGCGCTATTTGGCGCTTGAATACTCAGCAATTTACGAAGAAATTCAAGCTGGACCGCAGTAATTGGCTTGGTCATCATGTTGGCCTTTATGTCTTTACTAAAAGAGAGCTGCACTATCACTTGTCACCTTGGACCATTCCACGCACAAAGTGGTAGCGAATGTCGATGTGCTTGATTCGTTAGTGAAATTCGGGATGTTTTGGCCAGAGCAATGAAGCCTTGATTGTCTTCAAATATCTTGACTGTGTCCTCGTCTTTCCTCTTGCAAAGCTCACAAGAAATTGCTTTGATCCAATTCATTTCATGAGTTGCTTCTGTTATGGCCATGTACTCCGCTTCTGTCGGTGACAGCTCTACCATACTTTGCTTCTTGCTATCCCAACTTATGCATCCGCCAAACGCGTATCCACTTGTACTGCGCCGAGTCTCAATACCACCAGCCCGATCCGCATCCGAATAGCCATATAGTCCTTCTTATCTTGTTGCTTGAAATTTGAAGCCAAAAGTCTTGGCCCCTTGGATGTATCAAAACACGCTTGAGTGCTTGCCAATGAGTGAGACACGTACCTTTCGCATACTGGCTAAGAACTTCTACTGCAGCGATAAGGTCCAGCCTAGTCCCAATCATCAGGTACATGAGGCAACCGACGGCATTGCGAGATGGTACATTCATCATGGTCTCTTTGTGCTTGCTTGAAGCCGCGTTCATACATAGTCTTGGTAAATTTGAGTCCTGGATCCTGAAAAGTCTTGACCGGATTGCTTTTTTCCATGCTGACCTTTTTCAAAATATCATTGGCAAACTAGGTCTGACGCATTGGGATATTTCCAGCAGATTTATCTTGTTCAATCACAACGCCAAGAAAATACCTGAGCCAGCCCAAATCCGTCATATCAAAACGTTCGCTGAGTGCGTTCTTCGTTGACTTGATTAACCCATCATTGTTACTTGCGATCACTAGGTTGTCATCGTAAAGAGCCACAAACATCATGTAATGGACATTTTCTTACGTAGATGCAGTGGTCGACCAAACTCTTCTTGAACCCCAGCTTTAGCATAAACTTATCGATGGTCTGGCTCCACATTTGGGGTGAATACTTCAAACCATACAACGAACGCTTGAGATGACAAACATGATCTGGGTGCTCTTCATCTATGTAATCGCCCGGCTGCACAATGTAAATGTTTTCGTCAAGCGATCTAACCAAAATTGCAGTCTTAACGTCCATCTGGTGCACACTTAGGCAATACTTGGTCGCAAGACTGAAAGGAATTTTAAGGAATTTTAATGGATGTAGACTTGGCCACTGGCGCAAAAGTTTCTTCATAGTCGACGCCATACTTCTGCAGAAACCCTTTGGCCACAAGCTGTGCCTTGAAGCACTCGATCTTTCCCAGCTGAATTTCTTTAGTGCGAAAGACCCATCTACAGCCAAGTGCTTTTTGATCCTTTGGTATTGGCACAAGCGTGCAAGTCTTGTTCTTTTGAAGCGACTGGATTTCTGAGTCGTATGCCTCTTTTCACTTGCCTACGTCGCTGAATTCCATGGCCGACTTGAACGTTGTCGACATTTCACCCACTGAGTCCATGACGTAGGCCGCTTCAAAGTCTTGAGCTGCAGCTGACCTTTCTTCAAAAGATCGAAAACGTCTTGATTGCTTCGGCCTAGATACTTCGACAGCTTTTCCAAGAGACTCTGAACGGTTGTGACGTTTGCTGCCAGATGCAAAATCTTTTTTAAGCGCAGCATCATCGTCATCTTCATTATCCGTCTCATCAGACTGTGACGACATTTGCTCTTCTTCATCCTGTATAACAACCTCGTGTTGATCAGTGCGCTCTGCGCCGTCAAACACGATCTTCATAAACTGAGCATCACGACTAACCAGCAAGCGGCCACTTCGATGTCTTCGATTCGATACGCTTTTTCATGATCCAAATTACTAAGAAATCGACAGCGGACTGACTTGGCGCCGAACTCGGATCGCTTTTCTTTTGACAAGTTGACATACGCATGGCAACCGAACTTTTTAAGATTTGCCATTAACGGCTTTTTGCCAGTCCAAACTTGATAGGGCGATTTGTCATGCATCGTCGCTCGAGCTGGATATCTATTGCGGAAAAATGCGGTAGTCACTACAGCTTCGCAACCTTCGACAAACTAGCATGTTCCATCATGCATCCAGCCGAATCTACTAAAGTCTGATTTATTCGTTCAGCATCACCATCCAATTGAGATGTGTACGGTGATGTGACCTTTTGTACAATGTCGCGCTTTGGGCAAAAGTTGGTCATTGCCGCAGAACTATATTCACCGCCATTGTTGCTTCAATTATATTTGACCCTCCTGCTAGTTTGGGTCTCGGCAAACGCAACATAGACTGCAAACTTATTAAATACTTCGGACTTGGTCTTCAACAGGTACACAGCACATAAATGGAAAATATTCGTCAAGAATAGCGTTTCCCACTAAATGTTGAAGTCAGCATTGGCCCACAGACGTCAATATGCACGACTTCAAGCACTTTTTGGGCCCGTTTGACACAAGACTTTGTTAAACATACATTTGTTTGCTTTTCCAGTGCACAGTCATCGCATGGCTCTAACTGCATTACCGAGGTCAATGTAATCCCGGTATCAGAACCATTCTTTACGATAGCTTTTATGCCGCCATGGCCTATGTGACCAAGTCGAAGGTGCCAGAGGTACGAAGTGGTGCCCTCATGGCATCCCAACAATCTTGTCACGTTGACCTCATTGGGTAGAATTGGCTTCATGCAAAGTCTTCACGCTCAGCTTTCATTGAAGACCTTTGATCATGCAACCTAGAACAAGTTGAGTGAAAGCTTTGGAATGTGCCAGACGAAAGTAAGAATCCCTCCTTTCATCCCACGCGCCATCTTCATTGATATTACAATGTCGCCTTTCTTGTTGCTTGTATAATGCCGTCGTCATTAAAGATGCACGCTGAAAAAGGGCAATCTTCTTGTAATTCTTCATGTCCTCATTCGAATACGTCATGTGTTGTGTCGCTCCCAAGCCAACGAACCACACGCAGCTTGACTTGGCAACACAGCAACCGGAAATAGGTAGCTGCTACAATCATCATTGTTTTGCACAATATCTCATGCTGTGGTCCTTTTCGTTCGTCGTTCTCGCAAATTCGAGTGGGGCACTTATGTATCTAATACCCATGTTTCCCACAGTAGTGACACGGACCATTAGTTTCTACTGGCGCTTGTCGCCCTTTGCATCTTCCATTGTCTAGTAACAAGCGCTTCACCATGTCCGTGTTCGGCCTCCTCGATACCGCCACCTTGTTCTTTACGCTTCACATCCTCGTGTAAAAGCCGAGACGTCATCAGCTCCCACGCCAGCGAGTCCGCTCTTGACTCCAGCGCCATCATAAGAAATGAGTAAGAATCACTGAGACTCCTAAGAAACGCGGTATCCAAGTTGTCCTCGCTGACCGGAGCGCCCACAGCGCCAAACAGCTCCGCCAGCTTCTTAATCTTGTCAATGTGCTCCAGCACATCATCACCTTCACTCATCATTGTCGTGAAGAAGCGTCGACGAAGAAAATATTTGTTGGCTAAGCTTTTCTTCTCGAAATGCGACTACATACGTGACCATACATCATGCGCACCATTCGCTGAGCGTAACAAAGGCAGTTGCAAATCCTCCATCGCAAGACAAATCATCGCCATAGCCTTGCGCGACTTCCTCTTGAACGTTGACTGCTCCAGCGAGGTGGCGTAGTGCTCAAACTTGACGTCTCCAAAAACGACTTCCCACAAGTCATGTCCCTCAAGTATCATTTGCATCTTGAGCTTCCAGGTTTCGAAATTTGTTCTGTCGACCTTGTCAATGCGGTTGGGGGCGGAAGGATCTATTGCAAAGGCGAAGATGTAGTTGAGGCAGAGTCTGCGCGGCTCGGGCTTATCACCTGATAATGAGGCACTTGAGCACTAGATGATAAAATACAAAGTAAATACATTATAGGTTTTAGTTTGCTGTGCTACCTCTAAACCTATCTCGAATATTCTTTCAATAAGTCTACTAATTTCTTAACTAGAGTTATGTACGCTTGAATCGCTTGTTGATAGCCTCATTGCTGGATACTTCACTGGATACTTGGCCAACCCACGAATCCTCAACTTGTTGAAAAAAACTGTCTACACCAGTGGTATCAATATCTACCGGGTGGCGGCTACTCGTCGAAACGTTTCCTTGACACCACTAGTCTGCACGACGAGGTGCATCTCCAACAACAGCGATACCATCATACCTACTTATCTGCTCTAGACAAGGTTTTTTTAACGTATCTGAGAAATTTGGATTGACAGTTCTTAAGCGGCAGACGCGTCAAGCGCACTAAATCTATCGACACGTTGTAGGCAACTGTGATAACACCACATCTGCTAATCAGCTCTAGACAGCAGGTTCCAACGTGTCTGAAAAACTTGGTTGCAGAGTTCTAAACGGCAGCAACGTTAACTTCTCCAAAACTATCGACACGTTGTTGATAGCTGCGATAACACGTCATCTGCTTATCTGGTCCAGACGTCGAGCTACGGTGTGTCAGATCGATCAAGATATACCACATTTAAGCAGCAAAAATGTCAACTGTACATCGCAATAAAAGCGGTAAAAATGTCATTCGTACAAGCAATTGACAAATTTTGTTGGTAGCTGCGATAACATCTGTTTATCTGCCCAAAACTTTATTGCACAATTTTAAAGCGCCGGTAATGTCAATCGCACTAGAACTATCGACATGTTCCTGAAACTTTGGTGGAACTTCACATGCTTATCTGCTCTAGACAACAGGATGTAACATGTTTAAAGACTAAGATGCGCAATTATAAAGCAGCAGCAACTTGAACCGCACCAACAACATCGACACGTTATTGGTAGCTGCGATTACACGTCACATGCTTATCTGGTCCAGAAGACGAGCTACAGTAAGTCTGATCGGTCAAGACAGTCCGCATTAAGGCGTTAAAAATGTCAACAGTACTTCAACTATCGCCAAATTATTGGCAGCTGCGATAACATCACATGCCCTAAGAAAGGGTTCCAGCGTGTCCAAAAAACTTGATTGCACAATTTTAAAGCGGCTGCCACGTCAATCGCACTAGAACTATCGACACGTTCTTGAAACCTGCGGTAAAACTTCACATGCTTATCTGCTCCAGACAACAGGATATAGCATGTTTAAAGACTAAGGTGCGCAATTATAAAGCAGCAGCAACGTCAACCGCACTATACCATCGACACTTTGTTGATAGCTGCGATAACGCATCATCTGCTTATCCGGTTCAGACGTCGAGCTACAGTGTGTCAGATCGATCACGATATACCGCATTTAAGCGGCAAAAATGTCATTTGTACAAACAATCGACAAATTGTTGGCAGCTGCGATAACATCACACCTGCTTATCTGCTCTAGAAAACGGGTTCCATCGTGTCCAAAAAACTTTATTGCACAGTTCTTAAGTGCCGGTAATGTCAATCGCACTAGAACTATCGACACGTTCTTGGAAACTGCGGTGAAACTTTACATGCTTATCTGCCCTAGACAACAAGATATAACATGATGAGTAGCGCTATTGTTTGGGTATATGAGTGCAATGCGACCGTTCCTCACGCACATTGGTGCTACACCAACGCGGTTATATTCGTGAGATTCACGCTTTCCAATGAAGCACCCTAAAATGTAGATTTCCTTAGCGCCAAAGATGTACTTATCGGCATAAGCATACAGCTTATTCGTCGGGCACCGCTCTAAAATGGACGATGTGGATTTCCTCATCTGTCTCCCTGTGTGTGGACGAAGATGTCGTTGGAATATGTTTGTGCATACGTACTATCACGTACGATTCCAGCATCGTGATTTGCACGGAAAGGGTGTAAATGACGTCACACTGCTCTTTGGGCAGGGGCCTTTGGCGAGATACGCATTGACGCACACCTCGGTCCGAGGTAGGACCGACGGCGGGTCTTTGAAAACGTCGGACGCCCCGCGCTTCTTGGCAGTAGCCAGGGAAGCCAAAGGGCTATGAGTTGAACTAAGCAATGACCCTGAGCTGCTGTGGTCGCAGACATACCCCATGTGAGGGACTACAGAGATCCTGGGGTGTGATGGATTAATCCATACGTCGCAAAGCGACAATACGAAGGAAGTCGGCGACGCACCTTGACTTTGGCAAATAAAAGCCGAAGACTGCGTTCCACGAGCACATCCACCTTCTTGTGGCTCCGCTATGAGCTTGACAGAGAGGAAAGCTTCTGGTGCCGCTTCTCCCATCGCTCAAAGAGCTCTTCCTTATCTGCAGCGGTTTCATCAAGGGCAAGCACCACAGAAATAGCTCGAAAGCGCGGGTACAGGGGCGCATCCTCTTTGGACGCGAAGTTCGAGCACGGTATATATCCGTTGAGATTTCTTGAGGTACCACGAAGCAAGCTTGGAGAGGTTTTCGCTTTTTAAGCTCAGCTTGTGTATTGGCGGGGGGCGACTACTTAGACACTCAACGAGCGGTCGATCGCGTCCATCGCTTCAGTCGCAAGATCCGCCGATCGGAAGTAGAATTCTATATGAGGGTCAAGGACATGCCGTGGATGCTCACGCATAGCTGCTGCATCTGTGCATCGTCGGGACGATTGGTAATAATGCCACTTTTCCCGGAAACCGAAAGACCGGGAAACGGATATGGTGTCCGCAAGGTTCGAGCAGGGCTCACGTCGTGCCGCTGGCGCACCTCGCCTTCCTGGGAAAGCAGTATCCGACTCGTAGTTAAATTTCTCCCAATCCTTGACGAGCAAATCCGTCGCTCGTGGTGTCGCGGTGTGCGGCGCTCGGTTGCCGAGGGCTTGGGATGCACTTCCCTTGAAGTCGCGAACATGCTGTCCGAAGTTGCACCGTGTGCAGGAGACGAAGAAGGGCTCTGCCCGCGGCAACTCTCGGAACCAGCGAGACTGGGTGTCTTTCATGTCTGAGACAAAGGGCTCATTGAGCAGAGAATGCGTGGAGAAGGACTGGGGACGTAGCGGTGTCCTAGACATGCGAGCCTCGTACGATGCGACAGTTAAATGTGTATTGTGTGTATTCACAATTTGATAGGGGGAATGTAACGGGGTTACATGTACCCTGGCATATAAAGGGGTGCGTCACACAAGATAGTGTGACCACATAATGGTGTGGCTACACCTTAACAAGAAACCACTACGCAGCTGGACTGCCAGTAGTTATGCAATTTAACTAGGTTCTTTCTATTTGATTAGGAAAACCTATAAATTTAGATATAGGCGGCACTGCCGCAATAAAAAAATACAGTTTCTTTTTTGAACGAAAAGTTTATGGGTGAAGGTTGTGGTTACTCTTGGAGTAAGCGGATTGCGATCCGCTACACTACTCCCGGTTTAAGTATAAAACGTAAGGTCGTCGACCTTAGCTTAGCTTTCTTCAAACAAAGTGCTACGGCAGCCCCGCTGAGTGATCTGCAGTGGACATCGTTTTCAACTTTAATACGAAAAGTTTGTTTGTATTATGGCGAGATCTAATAATGGTGTTGCTTAGCATCTCAAAATTCCTCAGGCTCTGGTAACTGGCTATTTCATTCCAGGTGATGACCAGGCCACATTAAATTCCACAGTTCCTTCGATGGTGGGAAAAGCATGGTTCAGACGGACAATATGCATGTAACGCATTTTTCTGAGAAAGGCTTAGGTCACCTGACATGCCTCACCGCGTGTTCCTTGCTTCCAGCGGGCCGTTAACCTACGCAGACAGGAGGAAAGGTGAAATTACATTTATTATGATAGCCAATAAGGTCTCAAGCTCGTTAACTTGATAAGTATCTCCAGATCTGAAAGTGGATATTCAACCATACAGGGTGTACAGCTGATGTTAGACATAGAAAGTATGGGGTCCACACAACATGTGTAATGGGACCTGGCCCATTACGCCCCACTCAAAGTGGGTTTACTTAAATTCTTTGGATAGCTTAATGCTTCTTAAACTTCTTCTCACACTCTTCGTCACGGTCTATCCAACCTCGCTAGAGAGTAGCAACCCACACACTTACTTCACATGAGATCTTCGTCACTATTGTGCTTAGATATTGTCTCAATTCCACGTCTTTCAGTGCATTTGCGCTAATGTGAATTGTTTGTCATTACGACTTTACGAAAGATGTGGTAGCTCGACCATAGAGCTTGACGAACTCTTTAGTCGAATGGGTGCTCAACCAATGACTCGAACCGCGTTTTTTCGCGCCATTGGACCGAATACACGAGCTATAAGAGTCTCACGAAGTCTCATGTACGTACCGTTCATCCAGCAAATCCATCTGGACTCCGTACAGACAATCGACACTTGATTCTGGTCATGGGTTCATGCAACAAATCCGTCGATGTCCACCGTTTGAAATATGCCAGACCGCCGCGGACTTGGTGAAGATACGTGATATGAGCTTTGCCCATTTAACAGTGCAGGGTATGGTTCACTCTAATATAGAAAATGCTCGCGAAGTGCGTAGTACGAGAGGGACAG